TGACATTATTTTATTTACTATACCCACTATTGAGAAAGTATTACACAACTTTCCAAATTCTAATAGAATTTGGAATTCAATATAACTTGAATATACACCAGGCTTTGCAATGCTGGGGTGTATGTGTTTAATCTCTCTATTGAAAAACGTCTTGCAATTTCTTCTTACTGGTAATCTAAATGTTTTTATTTTTGTTTATATTATTATTAGAACCATATCAAGTCGTATTGATTGATTGATTGAATTATTATTTATTATCAAGTTTTTCATCTTTAAGGAAATGTGATGAATGGAACAATTGGCAAACAGATGGTAGATGCTTTAGTGGATTCATCACAGAATGTGGAAGTAAGAATTAACAAACATTACAGAAGTTTCTATAAAAAATTTAAATAATTGTAGATTTATTTAGCACTGTCTGTCTATCTGTATCAAAAAAATTATTCAATGTATTTTTCAGCCTCATCATTAGATTGACAATATGCAACTCATCTCATATTCTCACAAAGTATTCTTATCCATCAAATTCAAAACAGGTTTCATGAAGGCTTGCACTGCACACACCAACAATTATCATTATTTCTTAACAACACCCATAAAAAATAATAGAACTGTCTGTCATTGTGTACCATATATCCATGCATGCATTATCGTTCTTTGGTTACCAAAACCTGATTGGTTCATCTAGATAAGTATCTCATTCATAGATTACCAACGTCACTGCTGATTTATTTTATGTAGATCAATTCACATTTTATTTAGATTAATTCACTTCCAAGGTAGATAAGTGGGTCAACTTGGAAGTTCACTTTTTGAACTACTGTAAGTGATTTATCTCTTTTTTTGTTTTCTAGATGCTTCTGAAATTTTTTGATATGTTCTTGAAACTGAAAGATTTGGAAGCAGCTGATGCATTTGCTGTAAGTGAATAATTAACTTTTGTTTGTTTAAATCGTGTGTGCATTTAATTATTCACTGTTAGTGATGATGATGATGATAATAATGATGATAATTGGTGGTGATAATGAAGATGATAAAGGTCACGATATTGGTGATGATGATGATAATGACAAAACCATATTTGTTTTACTTATCACTATAACACTGAAAAACTCTTGTGTATGGTTTTAATATTAAGGAATATGATATCAATGGAGATGGATGGATCTCTCAGAAAGAATTTCAAAAAGCAATGGAATCTCAGAAAATGTACACATCGTAAGTTTTAAGTTTTTTTTTTTGGTAAGGCCAAATGATTTTTTTTTTTTCAATTTATATTTCATTTGAAGGTCCATTGTTGATAAGCCCTCCAAATCTTGTCTAATACAACATGGTATAATGTTTCATTTGCTTTATATAGGTCGGAGATATCCTATCTACTGAAGTGTGCAGACACCAACAATGATGGTAAAATTGATTTCAAAGAATTCACTGAACGTTTCCATGGTCCAGCAAAAGACATCGGTAAATTAACATTTCATTATTTTTTGGTTAGTTCTCTTTTAATAATTGACAGCAATATGCAATTAGTGCACATCATCACTAGATGTCTGTTTTATGACAAAAAAAAATCAAACCTGCCAATGTTCCCGGACTATAGAACACCCGATTTTATCATCTCATTCCCTTTTTGTATCACAGTCAGAACAAATAAATGTGTTTTAAGTGAATGTTATTGGTTAGATTTTTGTAGCAGCATGTCTTTGTTTCCTCTAGAATCTCATTTGGAATAAACGCCTCCCTCAAATAATTCCCCATCCCTTCTTTCAATGATTGTAAACAAACCAAATGGAATATTCTACCCCAGTAGATTTACATTTTTCCTAACCTGGTTGGGATCAAACAGTCTTAATGATCACACAATAATACATGTTGATGGTATTTATGTGCTGTAGTTACACATTTACAGTGGAATAAAAAAAAATATATGCCTCCCTCGAATAAAGACCCCCTTGAAAACCCTATAGAACAATAAATTCTCCAGGGCATTTATTCAAAGAAATACAGTATTTCAGATTTAGCTATATAGTAGAAACCCAAACCCTGCACAAGAGAAAAAATAAAGTAATGTGTATTCTTTTGCAGGTTTCAACCTTGCTGTTCTGTTGACCAACTTGTCTGAGCACATGCCGAGTGACACTCGACTGCAGCGGTTCATGGAGGTCGCAGAGAGTGTTCTCACGCACTTCGAGCCTTGCTTAGGACGTATTGAAATTATGGGTAAGCCAGTTGCTATAGTTTTGGATTACAATTTCTTTGATAAAAGGTTTAGCAGAGAACAAACATGTAAACAAGTTGTTTTCAGTTCAGTCTTCACACATTTCTGCACAAAGAAGCTTTGTTTTGCAAATGTTTTTTTATAAAAAAAAGGTTACAATATAATGTAATATAAATAACATTTCTTTGTTTCTGTTTTCAGGCAGTAGTAGGCGCATAGAGCGAGTCTATTTTGAAATTAAGGATTCGTACAAAGAACAATGGGAGAAACCTCAAATCAAGGTTAATAATTATTTATTTATTAAAAAAAAAATATAATTGACTTAGTCTATTTCGTGAATACTTACCTGGATAACCGACTAATTGCCATTGTTCCCAAAACGGAACACCCCATCGAAAATAATGGAACAGTCCGACCCAAGGCGCCACGTGCGAACCGTCTCCCTAACAAACGTCCTCATTCCCTTTTCGACGTTGTTCGAAGTTGGATACTCCCAGCCTTTGAAATTACTTGCAGTCTTTTCAAGCTATCTTATTTTGCCTTGGATTTATTTTCAACTTGCAAGATATCCTTTGTTTATTGTAGTCTCGATCGACATGTCCGCTCGCAAGTCTTTGTGCTCAGCGTGTGGGGGCCCTAAACCCAAATCAAGGTTAATAATTATTTATTTATTTAAAAAAAAATATAATTGACTTAATTTAGCGGATTGTAATTGTTTGTCTCCTATGATTATTTGTTAGGATCATAATAATCATCAACAACAACACTATTGTTATTGTCATCATTAGTGTAATTATCCTTATCATATTGTCATCCCCATACTTATGGTAAACATCATTCATTTTACGAAACCTCAGTATTGTTATGTAAAAATACAAATTAATTAATTTATTAATTGATTATATAAATAAATTAATTTATAAATTATTTCAGGAATCAAAACGTCAATTCTTGCATGAAGTAGTGAATGAAGGTGGTGAAAAAGAGAAACTGGAAGACTTCGTCAACTTCTGCGAAGAGACTATCTTTGAGGTAATTGCTTAATTAGTGTTGCTTATCATATTTATCTCAAAGTAAGCTAATAAACAATTTCATTCAGTATATTGTTTCTCAATGTTTTAATAATCATTGACATAGTTTCTTTTATAAATAATTTAATTATAAAATATTATGAAATATAAAGTTGTTTAATTGTTCTATATAAATTGTTCAGTATCTCATCATATATCTTATGTACATACAGTAATTTAACATTTTATTTAAATATTCTTGTGAATAATATTTTATTTGTATAAGAAGTTTTCTGTTTTGAATTTTAAATTTCTTGGTTTTTTTTTTTCAGATGCAACATGCAGCAAGTATTAGTGATGATAGTGAAGGCTTGACCGAAAGCCTCGGACAGCTGTTCACGAGAGGCAAAGAGTCACAGTAAGTTGATAAAATGAATGCGTAAAAAAAATTACAAAAACATTTTCTATATTGTAAAATATATTTTAATGTGTTTGTATAGTCTTAATGATCTGACTTTTTTTTCAAAAGGGGTTTTGTGGGCTCTGTGTTCCGTGCTGTATCACCTTCCAACTTGATATCGCAAGTAAGAGAAACATGGCAGAATTCTGAGTATGACGTCAAGAAGCTACGAACTATCACATTGTCGGGTCTTATCAAGAATTTCTTCAAACTCCTCTTCTTCTTGTTCTGTAAACTAGGCTCCTTAGGAATTGCACTCACTTGGTAAGGATTTAAAATAAGCCTTGTCTTAATCTCATCTTTTTTAGTTCAGTACTTAATTTGCATTTTGTAGGTTAGTATATTGCTTGGTTTCCAATCAATGAGTAAAAATTGAATGTCTTGTGTGAAAATGTTGTCATTTGGCACCCTAATCTAGCTTTTTTCCTTGTGAGTTGCATCTCTCCAGATGGAGTGTTGTCACAGCATGTTAACATGTTTGGGGGATTAATCCCTTCCACAAGATTATACTGTATCTCTGTATCTTTCTTGGCAGCAAATAGCTTCAGTCATTTTTTATGACCTATTTGACCTTATAAATTCTGAAATAAAATTTAGCCTGGTTCTCATGAGAGCCCTAGCATCCGGATCAGGAGCTAACCGTAGTGCGAGAACATAGCCTGTGATTAATTATAATAATAATTATAGATTTATTTAGATGTATTTTCAAATATTTATATTGTTTATGTTTTATGTATCTTACAGCTATATATTTAGGTGCATTGTTGGTAATAAAACTGGAGATGCACCTGTTCGGATTAATGTTCCTCTGTCAGTAACTGACCGGTTGAAGGTTCCAACCTTAGCAAGGCAGATTGCTGGCACAACTTCAGCGCCTTCACCTACTGCTAATGCGTAAGAATTCATACATCGATAAACCGATAAATGACAAATTTTTTTAGATGAACCTTCCTCTCAAACATACGAAAATAGTAATGGAATCACTTGTCTTGTCTGCAAAAACAATGTAATTGTTGAGTAGATAAACTTTCAATTCATCTGTATCACTTAACAGGGAAAAAATAATGAGGCTGTATCTGATGCATTAAGAGTGAGTTGGGAAATTCCATTAGAGGCAAGTTTAATTAGGGATGGCATTTATTGCCTGATCCAGGTATGAATGTAATGTATTCAAAACCATATTTTTTTCATTGCTCTCAGAAATGCTAATTTGTCAGCATTTGGTATAGATATTTCACGACGTAAGGAAAGTGAATCTGGAAAGACACTTTTACATTTCCGTGGCAAGAAACGCAAGGCTGTGTCTGCTCAGAGCTTTGATTTTGGTAAAACAGATGCATCCCCTATCACCTTAGATGCAACCGATTCACCAAACTTACAGGTGAGCTGCTTTAAGGATGAGTTGTGGTGTGGTTCAAGTTGTGACAATTCCAGAATGTTGTTCTCATGACTAAATTAGTAATGAGCAGTTGCTATTGGTATACTCTATACTTTAATCCTCGTCGCTCAAGATGTGCAAATCAGGGAACAGTGAAACAGTATACTTATTTTTTTAATATCCTTCACAATGAACTGCAGCTATTATTCCAGGGAGGCTATTGTCCTTGGCAATGATGTACTGTATGCTGATGTTGGTAGTACTGATGATGTTGGTGTTGTTCATGGTGTAACATTTATTGTTGTTGTGACAAATTGAGTTTTAGAAGTTTGATTAATTTTTAACCTGGCAGAATGCTTAGCTAGATGATAATGTTGTGTTTATTTGCAGAATGGTCATGGAACCCAAGTTGGAAATGGATTAGGTAGGAGAGAGAGTACAGTCTTTCCAAGGTATTAAACATGCTCATTATCTATGCATTTTTCTTCATCAAGCTATCATAGACATTAAGGTATCATTTTCATAATTAATTATATCTATCTAACACATAGTGTACCAGCAGATTATTTTCATTATACAGTATTATTATTGTTTTCATCATCAAAATTGAAATATTCTCATTATTCTACTATTGTTAATTTAATCCCCATACTTGAATAAACTGAAATATTACCGTTTTACAATTAAATAAGCACCTTATGAAAATAAAACTGTCTATTCCATGTTAAATAACCAACCTCTTAAATATATCTTTCAAATTTAGCTCTGATGAGAAGCTCTAGAAATACTCGACTGATTGATTAATAGATCTTTATTTTAGCTTATTTAGCTACCTCTATTATATTGCCCTCATGAGGCTGTTTGATTAATAAATCTTTTTTAGGTCTACTGCCTCTATTATACTGCACTCATGAGGAGCTCTAGAGACACTCGGCTGATTGATTAATAGATCTTTTTTAGATCTACTGCCTCTATTATACTGCCCTCATGAGGCTGATTGATTAATAGATCATTTTTAGCTCTACTGCCTCTATTATACTGCCCTCATATGTAGCTCTAGAAACACTTTGCTGATTGATTAATAGTTGATTGATTAATAGATATTTTTTAGAACTACTGCCTCTATTATACTGCACTCATAGGAGCTTTTGCGATTATGAGAACTTATTTTTGGGAAAAAAAAAAATTCATTTGTTCTGTCCTCTTATAGTTATTTTATGGCAGCAGAGCAAGGCCAGAATCAAGATGAAGAAGAAGAAGAGGAAGAAGTGCAACCAGGATTGTCTAACATTAAACAAACTGTTCTGGTAAATTCATTATTATTTTAACCAATAACATAAACCACTACTAATCTGTTTGCTGCCCTCTATTGTTAGAGGTTTAATAAAGTTTCTGCACCCTCTAATTTAATTTCATTCTTGTCCTTAAATAATAGCTTACAAGATTTTCTTCTCAATTGTTTTTTTATTTGCAGAGTTTTTTTGCACGAAACTTCTACAATCTAAAGACTGTTCTGCTGGTATTGGCATTCACAATCAACTTCCTTCTGTTATGGTTTAGGGTAGGTATATGATGTGGTGTAGATATTAGGTATACTATTTATTAAACGTTTATAATGTTC